TGAAATTTAGTAAAAATTAATACATGATGATCAAATTTTATTCTACGTTAAAGAAATTTTATCCTGATAAAAATAAAAATTACCATGCCGGTCAAATGGGGCGAAAAATGAGAAAAAAAGAGAAATTTAGAGTGGTTGTACCTGACTACACAGTTAACAATTTTTGTTTGAAATTTCCGGTAAACTTTTTGGAATTTTTATCGAATGCAATTACCACTCAAATTTCAAGGAATTTCGCCACTGAAAATTCCGAAATTTGTAGGAAAATTGAAGAGACCTGTAAATTTCAGTTCCATTTTTCCCTGAAAATAAGTAGAAAACTAGAAAATTCCGGTAAATATATTCTTAAATTTTCAGGACAGTGACACTGAAAACGATTTGGGGGGGAAAAATCATGAAATTTAAGATTTCACTGACGTGTTGCCTCAGAAATTTTTAACTTCGGAGAAAAACATCATAAGACTTTTATATCATCCACGAAATATCCAACGAAAAAGATCCTTTGAGGGATTTCGCTAATCCTCTCTACTCTGATATTTGCAAAGATATTTGCAAAGCACTATCCGGATAAATTTTGAACTTGTCTCATTTCAATACGATGTCTATTCATTTCACATGAATTTCTTCCAACGGAAATTGTATTTTATTTTCTGCCCCAAATAATAATCCATTATGACAAATAAAACAACGGACAATGGTGCCTGTGCTCTCTTGTTACATGGAACCCAATTTTTTTATTGCTCTGGACATCCGCCAATTTGGCATCCCACTCTTTATTCTTGAATCTATCGCATTTCTGACCGAAGATGTCCTTCCAAGAAATCACGATTATAGTAGCTTTACATGACTGCATACGCCTAAAAAAACAAGGATCACTCTGGAAGCTAAGAGAAAAAAAAATCCATTCTCGAACAAGTTTTATTTGAATTTAAAAAAACGCACCTTGAAAATCATTGAGAGTCTTGAGACGAAAGATTTTTGTCGCAAAAAAAAGATATTGTTGATGCAAATCGCCGTTCTACCGCTAACCACTAACTTTCTTTCCGCAATTGTTACTTTATGCTTGCATACGTTTTATGTTCCCGAAAAATATTTATTTTATGCAAAACAAAGACCTGATGTTCTTCGTTTCGGCTATCGAATAGTCCCGAAGAAAATATTAATGGCGATATGATAGCAATCCTGTAAACTAAATTGTGTAAGAAAAATTTGTAAAAATTCATATCTCATTAGTATCAATCAAATTGTATTTTGCAAAATATGAATTTTTTTTACATTTTCTTCTGATATATAGGGGAGGATGGGGCAAAACGGCCCCCCTTCAATCGTCAATATTTTCCGATTCAATAATCCGATTGGGATGAGTTAGAGCTCGTTTTGAAGAATGAAAAATTATCTTCAAAATGAAGTTGAAACTGGGAATTTTCACAATGTCATTCACAGGTTATTGACAATTGAAGGGGGACCGTTTTGCCCCACCCTCCCCTATATATATCAGAATTTTATATATATATAGGTCGATCATTTTCTATGAGGTGTCAAAAAATTGATCGACTTTTTCACATCAAATGAAAACAAACATCAAATTTCAGTTTTTACTTAAGGTATACCCCAAGACAATATCACACAAAAATTATTCCCTATTTATTTCTTTCACGATCCTCAAAATGGCCACAGAGAAGAAAAAGCTTTGATTTTTTAGGAATCTGCGGCATTTTTAAATTTCACGAATGACAAATTCTAAAATCATTTACCAAACAAAAAAATTCAAAAATCGAAGGATTTTATCACTAGTTTCCCTTGACATAATCCTAAAGTTTGGGCTAATTCTAGTTAGTGTCAGGAATTCTTAAATAGCACATTATATGATCAGGCGATAAAAGTATTATCTGACGATCGTGACTTTATGATACGAGCCGAAGGCGAGGATTATAATCGCATTTGTGGCATACAATATTTTATGTCATTAGGCCCGAAAACCGGGCCTAATGACGGGCGTTTTCTCGTGCCTAGTGCCCTGTTAAAAATTTTTGTCTGAAATTTCCGATTCACTTTTGGGAAATTTTTATCGAATTTAATTACCACTGAAATTTTAAGGAATTTTGTCATTGAAAATTCAGAATTTTCTGGAAAAATCAAAGACATCTGCAAATTTCAGTTCCATTTTTCGCTGAAAATGATTCGAAAACCAGAAAATTCCACAGTGACACTGAACGCGATTTAGGAGGAAGAAATTATGAAATTTCAGATTTCACTGAAAATTCAATGTAATTGGGTACTGAATATTCATATTAGATTGGAAATTCAAATAAATTAAGGAATTCTCGTCTTTATGCTCCTTAAAATCCTGGAATTTCACTGAATGTTCCGTGAAACCTGAAATTTCATGATTTTTTTCCATAAACTGTCCATGAAATTGTGAAGTGTGACATAAAATGAGGTATCGAGATCCATAAAAATTGATGACAGATTTCTAAAAATTCAATTGCTAAAAGTTACCGACATATCCGTAAAAAATAATTTTTTTTTAATACATAAACCAAATTTTTTCACCATTTTCAGAGAACAATCGAACTTGACCGTGCAGTTATGACAGGAAGTATGTGCATCTAGAGAGCCGCATCAAAACCGGCGTGTTTACCAGCCTCGACTTCGCCTCGGGCGGCAATTCACGCGCCAGTTAGAATGTCCTGTTCTCTTACCGTATTGGTGCGCAATATACTATGTTTATTTTAGTACATCAATGAAGAATGGCATTAAAAACCCTGCGCATTCGAACAATGTAAATTTCTGAATGCTGACTGAGCAATCTATTCTTCTGAGTTGGATAAGAACTGTTTGAATTAAGTAAGAAATTACTTGTTAATTAATTTTTTGAATCAAATAAGGAATGCTTTCACTAAATGTCCATTTTTGCTTCCGAATGGAAGCATTGCAATCGTTCAAAGTTAAGTTTTGGATTTTTCTTGTTATATCGATCTATTATAATCCAAAAGCCGGGGTTTCTTTGTAGGGATGGGAACAAAATGTAAAGGCCCGAGAGGGTATACATATGATGAAATAAATAAATATAATCCAAAAGGTCCGAAAATGCAATTTTTAAATCGCGTCCGTACGTATTTTTCTTTGATTGTTCGCTAATGAATCGACGGAATTGAATCTTCTTTTCTCAAATGTAGGTATTGTTGGGTCCGATCAAGCGCCATTTATTAAAATTTACTTCATTGATTAATTTTTAAAATTTTTCAAATTTCACAAAAATTGTTTTCTTCACGATAGCTAAAAAAATGTTCTGATTTGATTGAATGATGGCTTAAAAAATTTTTTGGGATGTCCTTTTGACCGAATTCGAAGATGATGGCGATCGCAATAGTCGTTATTTTGATTTATTGGAAAATTCGCAAAAATTCTGTATTTTTAGAAAATTGAAATTCCAGGGATATGTGTCGATATCATGCTTCAAATGAATTCAATCAGAGCTTAAAATGTTTGTTTTAACGCCATTAAGTCGAAGTTAAAAGGTGATTACGCTAGCTATATTGGTTGATTTAATCTTTATGATAATTATTGAAAATTTTGAATTTTTCATGAATTTCCCCGAAAGTGAATTTTCTGATGGTTTACTCAAATGTGCTGTTTCAAAATCATTTAATTATGTATAAATAACATTTTACTATCAACATTTTATCGACGGGCTGAGGGGAGAGATAGAACTAAAAAAGACAATTGGTTGCATAGAAGAAATGGATAATCAGAATAATGATGATGATAACATTCAACTAAATTAAAAACCTGATAAAATTAGTTAAAACGAAATCTTATCCAATTCAATAAAATGAAATAAACAATGAATTGTACATGATGGAAGGAAACGATGTGCAAAATAACCATTCGAAAGAAAATTACTAATTTGTTAGTATTTTTTTTCAATAGCTGGGGACTATTACAAACATTATCTATGAAAAACATGAGAGAAATCTTAAGAAAAACGTGTTTTCTAGGGATATACCTTACATCGAATTCGATCGAAAGCGCCTAATTCACCAACCCCCTCATTGAACCCAACACTGCTAAAAATTTTCGTCTGATTTTTTCGTGCCAAATACAGGAAATTTTTATCGTGTTCAAGTTCCACTGAAATTTCAGGAAATTTTGTCATTAAAAAATCAACTATTCCATTGATTTTCTGTTCAATAGTTCAATTATTCTGTGCAAATTCAGAAAAATCAGGAAAATTCATGTCATTTTGTTTCTGAATATTCACTCACTCCGACTGAAAACTCATGAATTTCCGTGAATTCTACTTAAAACTTGAAATTTCATATCCATCTTTTTCCCTAAATTCGATTCGACGTCACTCACATGAGATTTACTATAATATCTTCCATAAAATTTCAAGAAATTTCTAACACTGAATGTCGCACAACCCCTCCAAAAAACCCCACCCCCCAGAATCCTCAACTCAAAAATCCTCAACTCAAAAAGACCGCATCCAGGAAAACCGTATCCGGCACACGTGCGGAGAAATCCTCATCTCAAAAACCGGATTACCATAGCGGCCAGTCGGAGACACAACCCATCGGTATGCAGTGCACAGAACCCGCGACCGGCAGGGTCAAGAATCAAGAATTATTTCGCGAGACGAGTCCTCCACTCCAGCCTCTCACTTCCTTAATAGAGATACCTGTCTCCCTCCCACGCATCACTTCCGGCTCTCACTACCCCCGACATCCCCCAACAGCCCCATCCCCAGAGGCCAAAGTTCATTAAAACACTCCGACCCATTCCCGATAAAATGATAACAAAGCTCCTGTGAAAAACCGCTGCAACAATCAAACTCGGAGCCACTCAACAGGAGCGGAAAAGCTCCGAAATTTCGGAGCACAGCTCTAACCTCCGCCACCCACTCGATCCCAATTAATTAACACTCACTAATTAAAATCTTAAAAAAGCCGGTGACCGTGTGATAACAATAATCCAAGTAATAACGCGATACGTACCTTACAATTATAATAAAACTCTTGTTCCGCCTGTCAGAAGCGAGTACCGAACGTTGGCATCGGCATCCGCCGACTATGACAGATGCTGTAGAACGTCGAGCGTTAAAAGGCGAAAGAAATCGTGTGTTAACGCCCTATAGGTTGAAATCCCCTCCCCTGTTAAACGCTGCAGCCTTCAACGGAGAGGCGCAAAGCTCTCTGAAGTTGCTCGCTTTACCAGAGCAGCGTTGCCAGGTCTCCAGTCTTGACATTCCGCTAATCGCGCCAAAATTATGAATGGGGTTGGTAGATCCGATCAATTAGCCCCTCATGTATAAATATTCCAAATTTTTATTTTTTTCCTCATTGAAGTAGTTTTGAAGCAAATTGCGAGTTAATAAAAAACATTTGCTAGTTAGTACTTTTTTTAAAATAAATTTTTGAAAAATCACCCCTGAAAAAAAAGGCGTTATCCCCCCTATTTCATTATTTCCAAAAAAATTTATCACCAATCGGTAGCAAATTGTTTGAAGATTTTTGCGAGTTAAGAAAAAATCGTCAATGAACTCCTATTATTGTGTAAATTAACAATTCCAATTTCAACTGAAAACCAGAGTTGTAGACCCGAGTTTGTAGCAGCGATGTCAGACAAGATATGAATGTTTTTTTGGGCTCAAATGAAAGAGCGGGTCGAGAAATGACGTGCTAGAGCCTCTCAACATGACAAATGTCTCTAAAGATGATATCTGTTTTCAATTGAAAAGCAGAGTTGTGACATCATAATCCCCTCGAGATTCAAAATTAATCGGGTATTTCCCTCAAACTCCCCTGCGAACAAACCATCGTCCCAAGTTTTGCCGAAAAATCCCGAGCGCGGCTTTTTATCCTGCAGAACTTGACACCCTCATTTGTTTAGAGCGAAACTATCGGGAAATACTCGATAATTTTAAAGCTCTTGGTGTATTACTACTGAATATTTCTCTCCGCGTATGAATTCCCTATTTGAAATATCCCGACCTCAATCCCACTCCTTCTCTCTTTGAACACCCCCTCCTATTTTCCTCTCAAGATCCATCAGGCAACGCTTAACCCAACTTCTCTCCCTCGCTACCAGACGTCGCATTCATCTCCCTATTCATGTTTACAATTTTTTTATTTTTAATTTCATCATTCTCTCCACCTCAACCCCCGATGGCTATGCCATAACACCATTACCATTACATTCACCACTGCCATTACCTCAATTTTGTTATTATCGAGTGATTAACGTGTACTTTGTGATCTAGGTTATAGTGAAAATTGTTGTTGGAAAATAGTGGACGAGTCAGTCGAGGCGGATGATTGACTAGAGAGTTTTGTGAAATCATGTGAAATTTTCTTTTCCCTCGAGGTAAATTGTTTCATTTGTGGGACTGTCGAGTGATTGGAGATATTTACGAGTGGACAACAGTTGTGAAGGGGATGATGAGGGGAGTGATAAGCGTTATTTGCTCTTGGATATGTGGATACTGTTGTTTGTGAGGAAGTCATACTGATTCAAAATAATGCAGAGGGATTACGAGGATATTTAACGATAATGGAGCTGAAGGTTTGGGTTGAGGGCATTCAACGGATTGTTTGTGGGGTCACCGAGACCACCACTTGTCAGGTGGGTATTTTTCATTATTTCGATAAGGAGAGCGCGGGTTTCAGGGGGAACTAGATGTTTTAATTAGGCCGGTCTGGAGCAGATGGTGGAGAACAGGAAGAGTAGGTGGAATAGAATATAACCGTTTGGTTGGGGAGTCACACATGGATGATATAGTTGGGCGTGATGACTCCCCCTATTGAATTTCTGATGGAAATGATAACTGTGAGGCTTTTTTCGTCGTTTTGAATTTTTATTATTTTTCTAGGATGTTGTTTATGCACTGGCCCACGCCACTGCACAGTCGGGGAGGTTCACACTCGTTGAACGATGGAGGAATAATGAGAGATTCTTGGCTCCTTATGAAAATCCTTTGACGGTAATTGGGGGATAATTGGAAGATCCACGTGGGACAGTTTTATGAGACAGAATTGAGGATTTTAATAATGTAAAAAGGCGATTAAAGTCATTAGAGTGAAGTCTGTGGAACAATGTTGTACTCATTGAACATTGTTTTCGAAAAATAATTATAATGGTAACAATATTTCTTGATGAACAACACTGGAGAAATATTTTCATCCTGAAAAGGCATCATTTCGCTTGAATGATCCGTCTCTTGAATCATATATTTCGCTTTTGAAGGCAGAGGGATTATTCATGTGTGAAGCTTTCGTACATTCGAACGGAATAATTTCATTCTTAGTAATTTTCAACTTGTGATTCTTTGCTTTAAGCCAGATTTTCTTGAGGACGTTTTTGCTTTTTCTCACTCTCAGTCTACGAAATAGTGTTCTCGAAGTAAATATCTAATTATTACTGCAGATTTTGATGAAATGGGGTGAATACTCTTCTGACGTTCAATTGATCCTCCGACGATCGAGTACAGAGGTAACTAAAACTCAAAATCAAAGCTCAGGGAACAGTCGCTCACCCCATGGGACTCGGGCCAATGGAATGCAGGGAAACCAATTCGACCCCCTAGTTATCAATAGGGGCCACGATAATGGGAGAAACAGTACCACGAATTCCACGTCCGAGTGCAATGAGTCACCGGAAGTGCTCAAAAGGAATCGGGACATTAGGAAGTCGCTTACCTTCAGTGGACTGCATGGGACGTCCTCAGAAGGCAACACCGAGGTAATATTTTGGAAATCAAGCCGTTATACCAGCCTGCAAAGGCTTTTCGTTGGGAACTTTAGAGAATGGGTTTCAGGCACACACGGAAAATATTGCTGTTGTTCAACCGACTTTGCAATCGAAGAGTAAGGATGGACAGACACGTAGGAATGTGCAGAAGAGCACTGATTCACCAACAAGAGGTTCAGCTGGTGAAGGTGGGCTATGTAGAGAAATCGAAATAAAAAAATAAAATATTGGAAGGATTTTCAAGAACTTTGGTCTTTCTTTTCGTTGAAGTATTGTCAAACATTTGTGATTAAACATTTACGAATTTCAGGCACCGAACTAAATTACATAACATTTTACTAGAATTTTATCATTAAAACTTTGAAGGTTTTCATTTTATTCTTCATTTTGGACTGTTGAAAAAAATTAGAAGCCTACTTTTTGAGAAATCAGAAAATTACATTTTTTAAAGATTAAAACTCTTTGATCAATAATTTATAAACAATTGATTTCTCATCCTCGAAATCATTTTATTTGTAACAACTTCATCGATATTGCAAATTTGACTATAAATCAATTTTATGCCAAATATAATTTGAATAACGCTAATTATCTAAGATTTTTTCTTCAAATTTTTCTTATGAAATTTAATTCACAATTTTGACCAAAAAAATTGAATCTTTGGGAGTCTGAATTTGATTCTTGGTTTTAAATTGTGAAGACAAATTTTGAGGATCAAAAGGAAAATTAGAACACCCTTTTTGAAGAAGATGCATAGAATGATTGGAGAGTTGCAATTTCTGAAGATTACGAGCTTTTCTCACATATAATTCGTAACCAGTCACCTTTCCACCTCCAAAATATTTTTCTCAAAATTGTAACAAGTTTATCCATGCTGAAATTTTCACCAGAAATCAGTTTCATAGCAAAAGAAAGTGGTTTTCAAAACTTCAAAGAATTTTGACGATTTATTTATAAAAAGAGAATGTTTTAAAAATGTAGTTTTTTGCAAAATGTAATTTGAATGACTCTGAGCCCATTGTTTGTGAGTCCATTAATTTCTTCCAATTTTTCCCACGTTGACAAATTTGATGTTGAAAATTTCCTGTTTATTTCACGTACACGTTTTCGTCCCTCAACACATTCTCGTAATTAGCATTATGTTTGCTAAATTATCCCACGATGGATGACTATACGGGGAAGGATCAAAATATTTTCAGCGCAGTCAAGAATAAACTGAAGAATGCCATTTTTTAAAATTGTGTTCCCTTGAAAATCCACTAATTAAGAACACATGACCTTTTAAAATTTTAATTGTCAATCACTCATCATCAGCATAATTCAAGTTCTGAGAAGATATAAATCATCCTCTTGCACGTATGAAAAAATTGTATAGAAAATTTCCATACGATTTTTTCATACGTGTATCATCATTTCACTTCTGAATTGTCTTTTATATTCTGTTCCAGGTGTCTCCCACTTGCAGCAAAAGAAACTCCGAGAAGTCCCGCCATACAGAGACCCCCCAGGTCCCGAAAGTTCCCCCCATCGGACCCTCCCCCCCTACCGTGACCCACCACCCCCAATTGTCACAAGTCCAACGCGATCTCAAGCCCCTGAGGCAACCAATGATAATTATTCCCACCTGAAGGATGAGCAGTCCTCCCCGAATCATCCAAAATCAAAACGCAATCTCAATCAAGAGCTGCAGGATTCCAAGAATCCTATACAAAATAAAATACAGAATAGTCAATCACCGAATATGGTCACTGTGGCATATACTCAACGTTACGCCGAGCTCATAAGACTAGTCAATAGGCAGCGCGATACGATAAATGCGCAACAAGTTGATCTCACAAAGGTTGGCATTGTTGTCTCATAATAATAATTATCTAATCGCATTCTCTGTTAATGAGGCCTGGAGAAGATGATGAATATACTGCTTTGTTCTTTCAGTTTGACGCAGAAATTTTGTACTGGGAGAATAAAAATCGAGAGCACTTCAATCAAATGGATTATATTTCACAGGAGATCAATAGGATTGAATCGACTGGACGATTGATCGATGAACAGGTGAATGAAATTTTTTCCCCATCCACTTTACATTTCCAAATATAATTTTGGAGTTGAACAGATAGTGATTTGAATATTACATTCGTATTCATTACGTTGGCATCTTACATTAGATGAAATTTATGGGGCAATGAAAAGAGATCCTCTTTGAAACTGAGGAAAGTTCTGATGAAAGAGTTCTCTTGACGTTTTTTTTCCAGAAGTACATAATTCCCAGATGATATTGGTTATCAGGTTTCGATTATTATTTTTTTTTTTTAAGGTATTCATAGTTACGTTTATTAAAAATTTACTTTTCTCGAAGAAAATATTTATTTCGAAGACGTAATCATCAACCTTTTATCAATCACTAATTGAGACATTATATATATTTGAATATTTATGTCCAAAGGAAATAAAACAAAGAATTGTATAATCTAGGATCTCAAGCAAAGATTATCCTTGTTCCTAGGCTTAGGGTTATCCCTGGCGAAATAGATTGCTGACAAAAAAGGTGACACCAATTTTTTAATAAAGCATAATGGAGAAAGTAAAAAAAATTGTCGAATTTTTTCATCAAATACTTCTTGTGCACGCAAACAGTGGCGTGACCCCCTGTTAAATTAAACCTTAACAAAGAATCCCAAAACAAATTTGATCATCAAATCCATTTTTTCCAGTTGAACGAATTAGTTCACACAGAAGAAGAGAGCGAGCTAGTCCGCCAGCAAGAGAAGACCCTGAAATCCGAGATAACTCTATTACGTTCAAAATTAGCAAACTGCGAGACAGAGTTGCTCCAATGCAAAAACAAAATTCGCCTGGTGATGGAGGAATTAGCCCTAGAACAGCACAACATTAATCGCGAGTCAGAGGAGCGTATGCTGGTGGAGAGAAAAGTCGTCAATGAAATGGAGCGACTGCAGAATGATGTGGAGCAGGCTAAACGTTTGGCCGAGCATACTAATCAAGCGGCTGAGGCACTCAAACAGGAAGTCTCTAATCTCGAGGCGGCAATTGTCGAGAAAAAAATGCAGGTGGAGAGACTAGTTGCTGACATGAAGGAGGCTAATCTGCAGAGTCTAACTGTGGCGTGCCAGGACGAGCAGATCAAGCACTTGCTGGAGGGAGCCCAGAAGCCAGGAAGTACTCGCAAGATGATTGGTTCACCCAGGCAACTAGAAACTGCTGTACCCACTAGCAAAAATCCACATGGCGTTTGGGTGTAAATAATTAGGATTTTATTACTGTGGATGCATCCACGTTAAATGAGAGATAAAGATAATGAGAGCATCGATCATTTGCACTGTGTGAAATGTTTTAACGTTTTATTTAGGTCGGTAAAAAGTCACTTTGTACTGTTGAGAACAAAATTTTATGATATTTTAGGTCACGAATTTTTTAGGCCTCGAGATTTTAATTCAATTTTTGTATTTATTTGATAAGGTTCTTTTATTTACGAAATTTGTTTTGTATTAGTTAAATTCTTGAGTAATAAAGTGTAGTACTGAATTTTTTTAAATTATTTTTTTGCTGCTTTTGCTTCCGAATGGAAGCCTTGTATTTAAGCGATTTTCAATTTTTTAATTTTGATGGCAAATGGCCTAGAATGTTATGAAACGTGAAGAAATGTTTTTAGGGTCAGGTCTGTATGTACAGTCCAGCACTAAAGTTCGTAAACAGAATACATAGAATGCAAGTTCAGGCTGTTCACGAACTTTAGTGCTTGACTGCATGTGTGTGACAACTTGAGTTTTTGATGATCAATCGTTAGAAAATTCAACATAAATACGGTGAAATTTGTCGATAAAAGTCCGAAATTTTGGCTCATGGTAGCTATGATTAAACTTCACTTTGGTGCGCAGTTTCAGTCCGATCGGTCCAGTAGTTCCTGAGATATAACAATTTCTTTAAATTTCGTTTTTTCTCAAAATCTACTCGCCTCGATGGCCTCTATCCAAACAAAATGAAGTTAAAATTCGCGGTTTATCTGTCCTTGGGACATGATATACTATTTTTTATGATATTTATGTGTCCAATACTGCGTCTTCGTCAGTCGGAATAAAATAAACAAACATTCTCGTAACCGAAAATTGTAAGCTTTTCGAGGTAATGTAAAAAATGTAAAAAAAACCGTCGAGGTAATTTTCGTAAATTACAACGGTGAAGGACGGTGTCATTACCAGCGTCATTTACACGTCCAAGCCTGCACTCAAACCTTCTTTCGAAATTTCGCGCGGGAATGATGGGCTCAACAATGGCGTCGTGACGCCTCTGTACTTGCAAAAATAAAGTTCCTAGAATTGCAGCCATTCGTCCACGGAAAACATCCATCAGCTGATTGTCAGTGATACTTTGACAGAGTAAAAAATTACATTCAGCATAAAAAATTGGAGAATGTTGTCAATGGAGAGAATCCCTGACCAAATTGGATACCTCGTGCTGACTGAGGATGGAGCAGTACTTGCGGTAATTATTCTCGAACGAATCATGATAAACTAAATATATTTTCCATGGTTGCTCATTATTAATCCATGATGAATACCTTGAATCAATAATAAATAAATTTGCCATCATACAAAATACATGTAATATTTAATATGCATTAGAATTCTATTATTAATGATCACAAATACATCTTTCATTATGAATCACTATCATGGATATTAAATATTCCAGTATTGATGTGATTCATCTCGATTCATGCCCATAAACAGAGAAAAAAAGATTTCCTCAACTATTTTGTAATGAAAATAAAAATGGTTCTGTTTAGTCTGGCGGCGAACTTGAAAATGACGAGTGGGTGGCCAATATCGTGACTGGCTTAGTCACAATGACTGATAAGATTGATCCAAACACGCTTGTTGGTAACGAAGCCTTCAATAAAATTTCCATCGTTTATCTGAACCATTGCTACGTTATTTGTTTATCGAACAAAAAAATTCATGTGCTGAAGAAGAAAATCCGCCCCTCCATCGCTAGCCAGCCAATTGCAGAGCAGCAGAGTCTCATAGAAATTTAAGAAATTGATCGATTATTAAGAGTCTGAACTAAGTTATTCATTTTTCATCGAAGTGGTTGAATGTTATTAAAAAGTAAAAAAGAGCATTTTCGCGGATTCTTTTTTAATTTTGAAAACATCTCAGGAACGAGTGGTGAATAGTAAATAAAGGGCCATTTTTTCGTTTCCTTCCAAAATCATTCGTTCCTGAGACGGTTTTGTGATTTAATATAGGAAAGTTCGAATTTAATTTACAATGATCAACATTGAATCCCATCAATCCACATTTTTACATAAAAAAATTAATCTAAAAAACTGATTTTTTTTATTCTCAAAATCAATTGAGAATGTAATCAAACCATCTACACCAGAACGAAATTAAATTTCCAATGAAACAATACTCACTTTTATCAACTAATAATGTATTCAAAAAAAATCCACCATTCACAAATATATTTAATCCACAAACTAGTCTCTCATTAATTACATCAACGAAATCCCGTCGATTCGAAAAAAAGATTTCCACCAAGAAACTCGAATCTCCCATTACAATACCATACTCATAAGTAAAAAAATGCATTTATTCAAATACAATTTGCAGATGGAACAGAACGAAAAACGCTTCCACTCGGAAGCAAGAGGGAGACATTAATCCAAACATTTAATCTGACGAGCTGTAGGAATCTGATGACCCCCAATGTCTCTTATCACGTTTCTTCCCTTTAGAATGTTTGCCCTTTGAACTTTTGTATTTTTTGTGCGTCTTCCTACGCTTCTTTATGCACCTCCCCTCGACGGAATGTTTCTCCACAGATGTGCTTGGCTCCTCCACATCCCTCTCCCTCTCCTTGCGTTTGCCCTTGTGCCTGCTCCTGTACTTATCCTGCGTTCTCTCAGACCTCGAGCTACATTGGCTATTGGAGCGTCTCTCATCGTCACCTGGTGATTCAGTTGAAGAGAACACCTCCACCCCCTTCCTCTCCCTGTACTCATTGATGGAAATACGATACCTGGTGTCTGGTTTCTCCTCATCACTCGATCTGCTCGAACTCCTCGACACCTTCTTATCGACATACCACTCCTTCTTGTTGGCATCCTTCCTGAGAATGGTCGAGTCAACTGGCGCACACTTGACAACAGTCGACTTGATCTTTCCCTTCGACCTTCTGCCCTTATCAGTGGAATTATCAGCTCTCCTGCGACCCCTCACACATTTTCGTTTCTTCAGGGGTAACTTTGTGTCTGAACTATTGGAGCTGGAGTCACTGTCACAGGAGCTTGATGAAGTTGACGAGCATTCGCTGCTGGAGGACAAGTCCTCATTGTGTCTGTCGTCTTGGCTCTGGTTCTGATTCATCAGGTCCTTTCGAATTTTAATTACGAGGGCTTTCTTGCGAGTCTGGGGGGCTTCCTCGTCGTCCTCTGAGCTGGAGTGTGAGGCAGCTCGAGATCTAAATTTCTGGGGACGCTTGGTTTTTCGCTTCTTGGAGTCTTGGTGGTCATCTTCGTCGTTAGAGCTGGAGGTCTTTCTGCTTCGTTTCCTGGGGGTTAAACAGTCTCGCCTCTGGGACTGCTTTCGAGGGCTCTTCTTGCAGGTCTTTGACGTCTTCCTGGTGCGCTTGGTCTTGCGCACCTTCTTCCCCCAGTTTTCGCTCTTGTCCTCTGAGGAGGAGTCGCTGGAAGTACAGTCCATGGGGGCTAGGGGCATCGAAGCTTTTCGACGGGCTCCACGAGGGTTCCTTCGGCTTGGCTCCTGCGAAGTGCTTGGCTCCTCCAGGGAGGCTGGGGGCGGCGAGGGAGAGCGAGGGCTGGGATCCACGGCGGCAGAAGTACTGGGACCAGCTACTTCACCGTCAGAGGAGGGGATCTCGATTATCTCGGGGGTTCTCTCGTGGCGGGGCTTTATGTATCCCACAACCTCGCAGTCGGATTCCTCGGAGTTTGAGGAGATTGTGAAGATCGTGGGGGAAACTGTCGGAATGCGCAGCTGAAAGACTTGGCTGACTGTACTTGGCCCTGAAAAATTAAAATTGATAGTATATCCAATAAGGATCCCGAATAAGGGTTATACGGGATAAGTTTAGTTCGAACGTTTTGCTGGGGATACCCAAAGTGAAGAATAAGATTGGCGAAATAGATTGCTGGCCAAAAATGTTTCATCTATTTTCATTCTGATTCGAAGCTGTGTGATCGCCCATTTTGACGATTTTCCAATTTCACTTGGAAATGATGTAGAATGCCGTGAAATGAGATGATATGTTTTTAGAATTTTTTTAAAATAAATCTTTACGAAAAAGGGAGGAAAGTTCGAGCTAAAAATGTGAAATTTTGTGGAATAAATTGCATTGATTGGGAGCACATCTGGGGGAAATTTCGGTTCACCCTAGAAAAAAATTGGATTGGAATTTTCTACCCTGATGGTAACTGCCGTCCAAGTTAAAAATTACGAAATTACTAATCATCTAAATGAATCCCGTTAATTACCTGGCATATCAATGGGATGAGGTCCAACCCCAGGCATCTCCACAGGCCCAACGTCCACATTATCAACGACCCTCACATCAGAGTCATCGCTCGACGAACTGCTGCTGCTGCTGCTGCTCTGGGCAGGAGATTGCACACTATTCATGTACCCACTGGGTAGCCCATGCGTGGGATACGTGATATAATTGTCATACGCCGCCATCTCGTACCCCGTCCTGGCATAGTTCATCAGCTCATGAAGAAAATGATCAGTATGGATTCCAAAGTGTGGTCTGAGCACGTCCCTCAGCTCAGCACTCCTCAGGTCGTGTCTCGTAAGAGAATCCATGATTGTCCTGAGGACATAGGCAATGTGGGGCTCATTTCCATTGAGCAGAATCTGGAGATCTCGATTGATCCAGGGAATCAGTCGGTTGAGCTCGTAGGGATTCGACCTGAAAAATTCAGCGCTGCGTTCAAGGGCTCCAGTGTATTGTCCGTGGAGAGGGGCTGACCATTCCCCATGCCTGTAGACATTCCTCCTGTAGTCTGAGGGATTGCGACGTCTGTATCTCAGCTCCTCTCGTGACACTGTTGGCACTCCCTGGCCCGGAATTGGCAGAAATCTGAACCTCCTGCTGGGGGTCATAGTGGTCCTGTAGGCGAATCTCCTGGTGACTGGATCCTGTACGTGCCTGATGAAGTCGTAATCCAAGTTGATGAGCTCGAGGTTGATGTCCACCAGTGGTGACACCTGGGGAGGGCCCACCATCTCCCTTGGCACGTGATACTGATCGTAATCCTCCTCTGATCGAACATTATGGATTATTGATTTGAAGGTCTGCTTGCAGAGAGGGCACTCGGTCTTTATCTTGGACCACTGCAGGAGGCAAGTGAAGCAGAACTGGTGCAGGCAACTGTCGGTGAAGGAGGTATTCACCAAGTGACCCAGGCATATGCTGCATTCTGGCGTTGGAGAGTTTGCTCCACCTCTTTCTCCTGGACTTGCACTCGCTGTTGGCTCCAATTTTACGGGCTCCTTCGTCTCCGGGACCTCCTCGAGGGGTATTGGCTCCTCCATTTTGTAGAAAATTTATTGTCTTGGTGGGCGCTTTCACTGGAATGGAAAATTTAAGTTTTTATTAGGCGAGGGGGAAATTTCGAACACAGGGATGATTCCGGGCGGATAATTGACAAAATTACATTTCAAAACAGAACTATTTTCTAAGATCATTGCATAATTGAAACGAGTAAAGGAGTAAAATGTAATGCATCGTCTTATCACTATCTGTCCCCCCAATCAGCAGGAGCGAAATGTACAATATCGACATCTTTACTTGTTTTCAAATATTAATGACTCTAAATTTTTGAAAAATAGGATATTCTTCCATGAAGAGTACATTTTCTCCCTTTGTGATCAGCCTAGTCTGAGCTCGATTGCCAAATTTGTTTCTCAGTTATGAAAGTTGAAAGAAACACCCAAATGTCCATTTTGTCTCACACGCCCCTAATTATGTCGAGTACAAGTCATCGTAGGAGAAAATGCCAACAGCTACTTTCTATGGAGAATTCTCTCATCAACAAGAAATTTCTTTTGCTTTTTGATAATCACGATAATTGACAAAATTACGTTCCAAAACAGAACGATTTTCGAAGATCATTGCATAATTAAAACGATTAAAGTGGTAAAATCTAATACATTGTCTTATCACAATCTGTCCCCCCAATCACGCAGGAGCGAATTGTACAATATCGACATCTTTACTCTGTCATATGAATGACTCTTTGAATTTTTTATATCATTCGCTTCCATGAAGAGTGCATTTTTTCTCTTTGTGATCTGCCTAGTCTGAGCTCGATTGCCAATTTTGTTTCTCAGTTATGAAAATTGAAAAAAAAACCCCAAGTGTCCATTTTGCCTCACTCTCCCCCGAGTTATCTCGAGCACTCGTCATCGTAGGAAAAAATGCCGACAGCCACTTTTTATGGAGAATCCTCTCATCAACCAGAAATTTCTTTCGCCATTTTCCCCTAAAATTTCTCACTTCCGGAGTAATGAGATATTTGACAAATAAATCACATTCGACTCATCCAAAACTTTCCCCATTTCAATAAACTATAACCCCCCTCCCACCCTGAAATTCCGTTATTTTTTTAGTGTTAAAAAGTTGCTCAACGTACCAACATGTTATGAAAACCGCGAAGAATTACCTGCGCTGATTTTTCGCCCTGCAATTAATATTCAGGCTGATTATTCAAGTTCACACAGGTTTAGCGAAGAGTAAAAATGATCCTGACTACTCACAAAGTACGTGAGTGTGTCGCAATGAGTGATAGAAGCCCTGTGACACGAAGTGAAGGCGGATTGTTATCGAAAATTGGTCACGTAGAATAATTGATCGTCAATGCTGCACTGTGTTCCATGAAACTGCGTAACTCCATTACTGATACGATTAATTAAATAATTGGGCTACGCCCAGTGTTTTACAACGTAGCAGGCAATTTTGTGGTGCATACGATGGAGTATCGAGTCGTAAAAAGTGTTTTTGGTCTTGTCTATTTCAGTTGTGCGTGGATGTATTTTTCCACTGATGCCAAATCTCCTTTCTCAGCGTGGAATTTGATGAGCTCTGCTGAATTATTTCTAGGAAATGTTAGAGACCTCTCGATGAATAACCAACGATGGACGATGATTATTGCAGGCCAATGTTGATGATTACGCAGCTAGTTGGTTAGTGGAAAATCCGGGGATACACGATTAATAAATAAAGAAGGCTTAGTTGAGGCACAGCTGAGATTCACCGCAAGCACAATAGACCTCCTCACGGCTTGCCTCCATACTTCACCGTAAATCTAGGGACGTCAGCTGACAGGGATCGAAACATGCGAATGAAAAAACACTAAGAGTGTGCCCTGGGGGGCGGGGGGCAGGTGCGCATGCGGGCATTCACGGAGGTGGACGAATGGCTCCGATGATTCGCGAGGGATTTTGTTTTGGAATTGGAATGACTTGGAAATTGTATTGGCAAAAATGAACGCCCGTTAGTGACAACTTAAAAAAGGACACTCTCTAATTTTATTATCTTCAGAATCCACTCCCAGTATTAAACACAACATCGTAATTAAAGGGATAGCGCACCGTTTTTTTTTTCATACTAGAACAGGGCGCGCGCTTCGCGGGCGTATTTTTTTCCATGGGTGCCAGAATAGTAATACTTTACCGTTTCTCACTTTCATTAATTTTATCTCAACAATAATGCAGGAAAAATGGATGGTTTCAACAAAGACTTCCCAATGAGAATTTTTGCTCATCATAATTTCCTCATCTTTTTCTCCGTTTCTCTTTTGCTTATTGCGTTCTTTTTAATTTTTAGAGATGTATTACATACTATATACATATACAGTATAGTATACTATATATGTTTTTTTTACAAAACTATATAATTTTTTTACAGTCCAAACAATTAAAGGATAAAAAAAAATTGCAGGCGGCTATATCTTCGAAACCGCTGTAATTGTACGTAGATACGTCTATGGTCTTTCCTTCTTTCTCGAATTTCCTAGAAACTCCTTGCAATTCCGTTGAATTTTCTGGAAATTCCTTGAATTTTTTCGAAATTTCAAGAAACTTCTCGAATTACTTCGAAATGTCTATATAGAATGTTCTAGAATTCCAATAGATGGCGCTGCACATAAAGACCGTTTCCCAAAATGACCCCGCATATTGAAACCATAGACTTATCCACGTTAATATCTAGACTGACCTTACCACTTCACCAGATATTTACACTCTTTACTTTATACGATGTTAACTCTCTGATTGCCAATTTACGATTGACGGCAGAGCGTGCCGATCCGCCTTTTATAGAGAATTTTGAATCTAGAAATTTCTACACTGGAAACTAGCACCCTGTCGATATCTTATCGATCGATCGACGGTTGGTAATGTATTGATAGTCAGCATCGCCGATAGATGGCGCGGCTGCATAAGCATTTTTTCACCGAATGACCCTCCAAAACGAAACCATAGATGTATCCACGTCAAAAATGTACATAGACATCATTTCACATTAGCACATCATTATTACATAAGCACAATAGATGTTTCAAAAATCGTTACACTGAATTTTTTTTTCAAGTGGATTATCTGCCGTCTAATAAACGAGACGTCCCGATTAAAAGGGAGAACGGTCCGTAGAACCTAGAAGTTGGACGACCTCCAAAATATAGAATATAGAACTTAGAAAATTGTTCGGATGATGGTTTGAGGGGAGATTCATCGAGAGAAAATAGTATATTTTGTGATATCTGCCTGAAAAGCGCACTTTTCGAAATGTTTTAGTGTGCGTAAAACGAAGCTTACGCACGCTCATTTTACGAATTGACCGAATTCATTGTACGCACGCTGGTGAACTTTACGCACGCCGTGCGGAAAACAACCAATTTACGCACATTAAACCGTTTCGAAAAGTGCACTTTTGAGGCAGGTATCACAAAAAATTTGTGGATATGTGGATTTGTGGATGTGCTACACACACTTTAGGCACTAGTAACGCAATATACTATTTCATCACTTGTGCGTAAATTGAAATTTTACGCACGCTCCGCATAAGAAAGTGGGAAAAGTGTTCTTTTCCCCATTTTTTCTTCGTGGGAAAAGCGTTCTTTGACTCTCAGGAGGGTAGCCCTCGTCAAAATCCTAATAGTGATGAAAGTGTGAGCTCATTTGTCATTACGATATTCTCCTAATGAATAATTGATAACCGAATCGCTTCCAACCCCAATACAGTAGACTCTCGTTATAGCCACACGCATGGGAAATAAGCGAAGCGAATTCTACAAATGCGACTGTATTGCCCTACCCCCGCTATGCACTCACGCCAATCACTCTTTAAAGAAACTGGAGTGTTTACGCTTCGGGCCCCGTAGGTGATGGAGAGCGACAAGCGCTCGAGCGATGAAAAATTGATATGATGGGAAATGCGTGGAAATAGTGAAGTCGACATGCCTGTCTCTATATCTATATAAAACACTCGCGGGGATGACAGAATTTCTCAAAGAGGTTTTTTAGCTTTTGAACCGACGCATCGAAGGCTACAGGGGTTCTTGAAATCCATCAATATTTAGAGGAGTCATGAACAACTGCAGAAGTCATTAATTATCCTCCTTGACATCGTGACTTAGGCAGGAGGTCCAGCAGAGTGATTTGAGCTTTTTCATAATCCATCAACATTCGGAGAGACAAGTTTATTCACATTTCAAATTTGATCCCATGGGGTCGTGGGATGGAGCACAACTTTTCCAGAAGGTCTTATCTTTGTTGTTCTCTTTGCAAGAGATCAATCTTTTTATCAAGAATTCTCTTATCAATTTACGGAGAGGAATTTTCAATAAAAATTACGTATATTTTCAGTAAATCCGGAGCGAAATATGATTGTAGGAAATTTTACGGAACTGCCACGGAATTTTTCCAGAACGTTCCGTAAGTTTTTAAATTAATAATGTGTGGAATTTTTTTTATCGAATTTGTAGCTTCTGCGAGCCCCACCAACATATCCTCAATAGTACAGTCAGTGAAAGGACCGGTCGTTAAAAATAGTTCAACAAATTCAATAATTTTTGTTTGACCAGTTTCTTTTTATTAATCAGAATAATACTATCATCGACACAGCGTGCTCTGTACGATAAGTTCATTTCGAGTAAAAAAAATGATTCTTGTGAATTATGAGTATAAAAAAAGAATTCAAAATGTTGTAGTAATGGTAAAATACACCAGTCAAACATGTATTGCCTAGCACAGCCAATTCCGAGATCACCAGCCGTTTAAATTTCAGCTCCTGAAACAAGAAGAAATGGGAAAAAAATTTAAAACGAATGGCATAAATTTATTTTTAAAAAATTATGAAAGGATGATTTATGTTTGGCTCTGAAACCGAGAAATTTATAAATAGCCCAACATTCTAAAAACGGTTGTTTAGGCATCAATGCTTGAGGGCTGTCAGTGGGGGAGAGGGTCTCGCAGGGACCGCCTGGGGTATTTACGCCTGCAGTCAACGTCGATGTGTTTTTTTCATATTTTTATCTTCATTTACAAGACAAAAGAGTGAAAAATAAAAGCGAAGGGGAAAATTAGAAATTTGAAATTCGACTACCTGGATCTTAAGAAGTATAGGAAGAATGAGGGTGACTCGATGAAAAATAAACACGAACGAAAACAACTCAGAGATGACGAGGAATTCACACTGATGAAGAACAAATTATTGTTACGAAATAGAATGATTTAATTTATCCTCTTCCCCTTTTTTGTAAAATAAAAGAAGGTTGACTGTCTCTCTCTCTAATGTTTGGGATAGCTTCATTTATTATTAATCCCTGAGAACTGTCAATAAATACGTCCCTTTGATTGATCCCGAATTATTACTTCTTTGAGGGGAGACCACTATGAGTTTTATAAGCCGTGGGATATTCATGTGGGATTTCGTATGTAGTGAAAATCGACTGTATATGTCTAAAAATGAATAATTAGTGTAAAAAAATTAATTGTTTATTTTTCGTTTACTCTGCAGACGCTTAAAATGTTAAAAATAGTCCAGGGCCTCCAATTTTTGAGCTACTATTCGTTAGCTATTAACGGGTGGTAGAGTTGAATATGACCAAGTGAATATTCATTAATAGTTAACGAATGGCTCACTTGAAAGGTGAAAGTCGAGTCAAACAAGCCTTTTCAAATGTCCATTTGTTAACTATTAACGAATGAACATTGGGTGAGACCGAACAGACTCTTGTCTCCAACCAAATCCATTCGTTAACAATAACTAATCCTTTCTATCAGTGTATCGAATATCGATTGAGAGACGCAGTGCAATATTGCACAATTATCGATAGAAATTAGCGCAGGAATAGAAGTCTCAATAGAATTTCTCAGAGAAAGCGCTAGGTTTCTCTATCAAATTTATTCGCCACGAATTTTTTCTACCATTTCACTACCGAAGTGATTCTACTCTATATGATAATAATACTTCGAACCAATGACCGATGCTTTCTTCCTTTCCGCAAGAATGAAACACTCACATATCTAACAATAATCTCAACCAAAATCGAAGGAAGCTATCAAGTCCGTCAAGGAAAAGGGTACATCCGCGCATATATCACTTTCCTCTGCGGCGAAAAAATGAGAGCTTGAAAAAATGCCAAATAACACTCACAGTTGAAAAAGAATCCTCCCTTTTTCCGTTTGGGTCGGCAGTACTTATCCAAAACGTCGAAGCCGCAAGCTTTTTTGCAGCAATCCTCAACAATCCCTCCACGAGCTTGGGGAGCAATGACCACATCGTCTGTATCGGGATCATCCATAGGACCATTAAATCCTCGACCAGCGCAGAGCATATCCAAGATTTCGGCCAATCTCTTGGTGCAATATTTTTTGCCGATGGGGTCAGTAATCCCCGCGGAAGGATTCACTAAGAGAAATACCAACACGACACACATCACCCTGAGCATCAGTGGACGAGTCATTTACCCACGAGTCTAAAACAGTCAAAAATTGTTGAAATATCCTTCTATTTGTCAATTTACGGATATTCAAGTATCTTTTAGAGATTCAAGCATTTCCAATCATAAAATTTGTCAATTCAATTGCGTGAGAAAAATGAAAAAAAGAATGTGAATATTCAATGTCATTCAAATAACATTTTTCACAGAATTATTTTTTTTAATATTCGTTGTTTATAAATAAATAAACAATGGAAATTGTTTAAACTTTCGGAAACCTAATTTTTTTAGGCATGAAAGTGATTTCGAGTAAAAATCAGAATATGATTAAATTTGTTAAGATTTCGAAGAAATGATTTTTATTGCGGA